CACTTAGGGATTATAACCCTCAGGCAGTAGAATTCTCCTTTCTGTGTTGCCAAAGAAGGGGGGCTGAACACCTTTTGCAGAGAACACCTTTCTACGTAGGCGGCCTTCGGCCGCACTGTGTGCGTTGCTGAGGTGGTTGCCGCCCTGTGGTGGTGGTGGGTGGCGTCGCGGTTGAGGTTTGCGACCGCGCTGCCCAACACGGGCCCTAGAACTAAACTTATGTGCTGTTTTTGCTTACGCGTACGCTACTCTAAATGTACATTTATCCATACAAAAGTCGTCACCTAAATGCAACTAAATGCAACTCCATTTTTGCATTAAGAATCTAAATGCTAAAAGCAACCCTGTGATCTTCCAAAATTTCCACGATTCGAACATGGTTTAATGAAAAAGTGGCAACATTGCTTTTTCGAGTATACAGTCGCTAGCTGGGTTTCAGTGATCGCCGATCGAGATTTCATTTATTATTTTACATTATTTGGATAAAGAAAAGTTACGCAAATTCAAAATCGATATGATGCTGATAGAAATCTGGATTAGTTTGTGATCAGCTCTGTTTGTTTTGTTTCCTAATTAAGTGTGGAAATTATAATTGACTGCACCGACAAATGAATATATACACAAACAAATGTTCGGTTATGATTAAAACAATTAAAGTGTTTGTATTGAATTTTCTGTTTAGAATTTATTTTTTTCTTTTTCAGTAGGGGTTTTGCACATTATCTTTTCCGTGAGAATTTATCGTAATAGATACGGATCTGAATAAGCGGCTGGAACACGGCTGTTTGTCAATAGCATACTATTTCGAACTCGCGTAAATGTACATTTGCTAAATGCGGTAGCATGAACGCTCTTCGAAAACATATGTTCGAAAGTGCTAAATGTTGCATTTTAAATGCAGCAAAAACGCTGTATTAGTTGAGTTTGACGCTTATCAAGATTTTGCCAGCAAAAATTCTTCTGACTAAATCTGACTACTTCGGACTCTCACTGAGTGTCGCTCTCTCATTTTTGCTGTGATTTTCGGAAGAAACGCTTTTTGGATTAAATCTGACTACTTCGGACTTTTTCTGACTATTTCTGGGAAATAAGGAACGCAACTACTAAAACACAGATCTATTTTCACTTGATTTTCCCAGAAATTTAGTAAACAAGTAAATACTTGCGCTTTGTACTCGATACCTATGAAGTACTTGAACACGCGTTACGGGAAGTACAAACAAATACTCGGTACTCGGTAGAGGTACTCGAGGTTATACTTATAAGTACTGGTATCGGAACATGACTACCTATACCATCGCTAAAAACTATTGCAACCAACTTTAGCGTGTTCCTGTCTTTTAGCTGAGCGTTTTTCTAATAAGTGGACGTGTGAGGTGAGTACAAGCTGCGATGTTTAAAGATTTTTGGTTTTGTGATGATGCTTGCTATGCACCACTCTGAATTATCATTGGTGTTGATTTAGTAATTCTGAAGCGTATTATAGATGTAGATATTATGTGCTGAAAAGTCATAAATCGAAATTGGCCAAGATAAAATAGACCGATGATGTGACGCGATTAATTATCTGATTTGTTGCTAGGTCTATTTGAGGAAATATGGGCGCTTATCGTTACATGCAGGAACTGTACAGGAAGAAACAGAGTGATGTTATGCGCTATCTGCTTCGGATCCGAGTGTGGCAATATAGACAACTAACGAAATTGCATAGGTCGCCAAGACCCACTCGACCTGATAAAGCTCGCCGTTTGGGATATCGTGCTAAGCAGGGATATGTAATATATCGAATCCGTGTTCGTCGAGGAGGCCGCAAACGTCCAGTACCTAAAGGATGTACATACGGCAAACCAAAAAGTCATGGCGTAAATGAGCTTAAACCATATCGTGGATTGCAGTCAATCGCAGAAGTAAGATGATATATTTTAGAGTTACTTAAGCCCGTCAGACTTGGCAATATTTCCAACTTTTCCACGCAATTCGCTTGGGAAAGAAAAATGTTATTTACATATCGTCGCCTGGGTAAAAGTTGTATAAGTACAATTTTGACGATTTTTAGTTCTAGATGCAGTTATATATTTTGGAGTAGGCTCCTTTGAATGTTACAGTTTTTAGATATCTCTTAGTTTCCGAGATATTGACTAAATTTTTTTTCGATAATTTAGTAAAAATTTAGTTAGTGATACAGACATTAAAAAAATCAATATCTTAAAAATGGCGTTCTCCGTTTTTGGATATGTATATCCTTTAGTTTCCGAGATACATATAGTAACATTTTCAGAGACTGGAGAAAGTCTATTTTCGCGTTTTTGAGAAATTGCATTCCAAACTTCAATCACGATTTCCCACAACCTGCCGAAATTAACACGATAATGATTTACCCAGGCGACGATGTGTGAACAGCCAGCAAGACCTTTCTGTCACTTAACGGAAATAATTTCAGAAATGAAAGTTGCAAACTGTGATTGCAAGCACATCGATTTCGGAAATACATAAGGGGTATTCTCTGAGTCTTGCAAAGCCCTTGCAAGGTGCACGGTTTGCAAAGTTGTCCCATACGAAAACCGGTTTTTACCGTGCAATCCGTGCAAACTGTGCACCGTGCAAGGACTTTGCAAGACTCGGAGAATGCCCCTATAGCGTCACCTGAAATGCAAAATAACGTAACAACCTCGCCACTGAAATGCGAAAAGTCGTAGCTTATAAAAAAATTCAAAATTCACTTTTTGATTGCTATGATGGATTTCATCGTATTACAACTCCCCACCATTGTGAAATATTTATTTCACTATGCTCACCACATCGTTTTATGAAAGACAAAATTAGTCACGACTTTTTCCATTCCAGCGACGATGTTCCGTTATTTGGTAATTGTGCACTTCATGGTTCTAAAGGGGTATATGTAAAGTTTTAGAGCGCGGAACCTTATAGTTTTTAAGTAATTTGTTATTAAAGTTAGTAATTTTCACCAACTTGTATTTGACTATTTTACAATATATAATGCACTTTCCACAAAATTTACACGTTTTTTACACTCAATATATGCGCAAAAAGAGTGTGCACGTTTAAACAAATAAATACTTTAAGTATATAAGCTTTTTTTTATCAAAAATTGATTGTTTAATTTTATGAGAGTACATGCAGAATATGTGCAAATGGCAGCAGGACTGTGCTGCCATATCTAAAAATCGATTAAAAGGAAAATACGATAAGGTTATTTTGTTCAGATTAAAATAAACAGTAGGGGGATCAGGGGCTGAACACCTTTCTGCGTAGGCGGCCTTCGGCCGCGCTTAGGGATTATAACCTCACAACGTAGAATTCTCCTTTCTGTGTTGCCGAAGAAAAGGAGCCGAACACCTTTTGCATAGAAAACCTTTCTGCATAGGCGGCCTTCGGCCGCACTTAGGGATTATAACCCTTACTACGTAGAATTCTCCTTTCTATGTGGTAAACCTGGGGCTGGCGCCCCAGTGATGTCTATTTTGGTTGGCCATAAAGGAAAGCCAACTGCACCTTTCTGTGTAGGCGGCCTCCGGCTGCACTTCGGGATTATAACCCTCACTACGTCGAATTCTCCTTTCTGTGTTGCCGGAAGAGGGGAATATGACCCCAAACCCACTACTTTTTAGTTTTATCTGAACAAAAGAACCTTATCGTATTTTCCTTTTAACCGTATTTTCTTTGGTCTTGCTTTCAGCCCCTGGTTTTTTTTTAGATATGGCAACACAGTCCTGCTGCCATTTGCACATATTCTGCATGTACTCTCATAAAATTAAACAACAATCAGTTTTTGATAAAAAAGCTGTAATATACTAAAAGTATTTATTTGTTTGAACGTGCACACTCTAACTGCGCATATATTGAATGTAAATAACCTGTAAATTTAGTGGAAAGTGCATTATATATTGTAAAATAGGGGAAATGTTTAGTTATTGGCCCATCGTTTTTGGGGTGGGGGCGGAGGGGG